GGGTGATGTAAAGACAGAGGAGACGGAGCGAGGCGTTAATAGATTATCCCCAGTGGTGACTCCCAAAGAAGATCTGTGCCTAGTGTAGAGAACACACTTAGCACTTGATCAATCAATTTAAAGAGGTTCCATAAAATAGTATCACAGAAGAATTACATTTGTCTCCTCTTCTTTAGAGGGCGACCACTGTGGCACATAGATCTGGACCTGGCAGACAATCACGCCACTGCTCACCAAAAGTGGGTTCTTGTACATCACATGTGTCAAACTCAAGGCCCGGGGTCCAAATGTGGCTCGCCATGTTATACTGTATGGCCGGCGGGAGATTAAAAAGCATTTAATAAAGTCCGTGCAGCAGAGTTTCCTGACCCGATAAATTAAATGTTTTTATTTCATACACAAAATCGGACAATATTTGTTACCTAAATAAATAATAATCACTTGCAGAAACATTTATTAATAGATTATGCATTAGTTACATCTATACAGTCTTTAATTTAAAACAAGCCCTTCAAGGGAAGCTGTACTGGTGATGTGGCCCCCTGGTGGAAATGAGTTGGACAAATGCTACTTTACATCACAGATGTAAAAGTGACACAACTCCCTGACCACAAATGTCAGTCATATAGAATAGACAGGTGGGTTATAAATTATTTCTCTTGGATTTGGAGACTGCCAGTTTCTCTGACTTTCATGACTTTTTAATTTTGCCTTAAATGTTTCCACACAAACATGATTAATTGCATTTAAATGCTGTGTAAACAGAACATTCATAATGCTGTTTTACATAACCCACGAGACAGCCCACTGTCCCATAAGGAGTTTGGATAACAAACTCCAGTTAATGAGTAATAGCAAACAGCACGGGATTTAGTTTGAAGTTGGATATGGAAACAATCGAGGTATTCAATCATAAAGAGAAAAAAAGAGTCCGAGATAAGACACTCTGACACTCTCTTAGAGAATCACAGATCAGGCAGTTAAGTGGATTTAAAGGATGGGCATCCTTGAAAAGTCATGTGACAAGGACCCATCTGAGGCTGAGTACGGTGCCGACATGGTAAGACGACAATTGACTGCCTTGTGTCGTATCCCGCTGGAGTTCAAGAGGCTATAAAAACATTACGCCAGGGAGTCCCATATCAATGACAGAGACTGCCTTGATACAGTATGACCAGAGAAGTAATAAAAGACATTAGGACAGGGAGATGACGGGGAGTAAAGGAAGAAAACGGTCAGAGAGGGAGAGAGAGAGAGAGAAAAGAGACGATAAAGAAGAGAGGAGAATCATGGGTAACCAAGGGAGAGACGGGGGGAGACAGGAAAATCAATGGATTTCTATATGCAGCACTGAGACTGTGCCCTCTCCCTGGACTGTCAGGGAGCAGACAAACTGAACATCTATCCACAGACCAATACTGATGACATGCCAGCTACGCCTGTCCCCGTTTGAGCAAAAATAAATGTCCAGTGAAACAGTTCAAGTCTCGTCTGTACTTTGGGTTTCTGGTAAATAAATCTTTTATTACATTTTCTGTGGTTCCATAAGGTCACGGTTATCACGCCTGCTTACACATCTGCCTTACACAACAGAAGGTCCTGGGTTTGAGCCCCAGAGGGACCTGTACCTAACGGCACCTCCCATGAAGGCCTGTGTGGGGTGCAAAATCTCACACTGTGAATGACCTACATGTTTGAAGAATAAGGGACTAATTTATTAAAAATAAATAAATAAAATTAATTTGACCAAATTACATTTTTTTATGTTGCATTATTTTAAGGGGAGCAGTTTCTTTTCTTTTCTTTTTTTAAATGGTTTCACAATTACATACACACTCTCTCTCTCTCTCTATATATATGTATATATATATATTTATATATATATATAGGCTTGAAACCACAGACACATAAACCCAAAGATCTAGGTCCTCCTTAGCCGTAGACTGTAACTGTGAGGAGGAGAAGAAGCCGAGGTGTTATTGAGGTTCAGGCAGCATCTTTTCTCAGGTCGGCTAACACCCGGGCAGACTCTGCACCGTGTTTACCAGCGAGTGGCACTGACACTTTAAAGGGTGAAAATAAAGGTGACATTCCTGTATCCTTCTGCCCAGCTTTGTTCTCTAAATAACAGCTGCACTCCTGTGCCCTGAAGCAGTCGGTGCATCACCAACTTCAACAAATTCTCATCAACTGCATTGGTAGATTATACAGTAGAGTAGAAAAACAAAGAGAGAATGTAGATACTTTTTCTCAACATATCATCAATCAAAAGACACTTAAGCTAATCTTCAAATGTTCTTCATTTAGGTGAAAAGAAAAATATATTTTGAAAAACTTCAACAATGTGAACAGGTTTCGATTCAAGCTTGGTTTTTCCCACGATTTAATAAAAAAAATGTAATAGTGAAACATCTAAAACTTTTAAAGATCTTGTTTTGTTATCTGAAAACATTTTGACTTTGTACTTACTAATTTATGAGTGCGGGTTCAGTCAGGTATACAGGTTTATAGGTGGAGGTCATTAGGATAATAACATAACTTTACTGTGTAAAATCATTCATACGCGGTCGAACACGGAGAGGTCGTAATAATAAAAGATGCTGAGGAATGTTAGGGACCTAGAAAAGAAAAAGTTAGTTCCATAAACTGGAAGACCTTTGTCAAAGCCCATGAGACTGTTAGCGAAGTCCTCCATGATTAAGATCAAGGAAGTTTATGTACTCCTACACTGTGGAGAACACTGTCACCTCCTGGGTCCTCTCCTCTCCTCTCCTCTGTCTGTCCTCCTGCCCTTTCCTTGCTCTCTCTCTCTTTATTCCTCAGCGATAATGAGCAGACAACTATTGCTGTAGTTTTCTACGTGCTACAACTGACATCTTCCAACGGTCACACAGAGGGAGGGGTCTAATCCCTCTAATGGCAGAGCCCGCTCACTCTGTTAAATGTTAGCAGATCAGAAGAATGTACTGATCACATGGAAATTATATACTGTACATCGGTACCAATGTCACTCAGCTACGCTAACACAGTGGCAACATCATAATCTAGAACATAAAAACACCACAAGTGACTGACTTAAGCCTAGGAGTCATAATGTAGGGCAAAAGGTTCCCAAAAAACAACACAAACGAAAAAAAGTATGGCGTATTGTACAACTGTTGAATGTAAACAAAGCCGTCGTCTGCATACAGTGTCCATCCCACCCGCCAACTAGTTTCAGTGCAAAGTACTTTTAACACCATATGTTGAAATGACAGAACGTAATCACAAAATGCCAGGTAGGTCGAGGACACCGTGAACCATGACCCCCTGAGAATCAGGAGATTTCTTTTTTTTCATCTGGAGCAGAAACAGAACGTATGAGAGTTGAGTCTAATACCAATCATAGGTACACTAACTAATACTATGAGCCATTTTGTTATAGTACTACGCAAAGAGAAACATAAATAAGAAATAGACATTTATTTGCAATTCTTTCACTCATTTTTACAGCAGCATTAATTCAAATCTCACTTAGTTCTGTGAGAAAAAATGCTTGAGCCTATTTTCTAATGCTCTTTTTTCTGATTGTGGTTTTCTCATCATCACAGTAATAAGAACTGAATATGTCGTGAAAGCCTTCAAGCTAATGAAACTTCTAGATCCCCACCAGCTCCGAACTCCAGAAATCAACAAAAAAGTTCGAATTATATAAGTTATTGCTCAGATAATGAATATTCCTGCTTGTAATTAGAAAACAAAACACCTATTTTCTAGCTTTTTAAACACTGGGCTAAGTTTGCATTTACGTACAAGCAGAACGAAAGTCTTTTCTTACTCGTAGGTGGACAAACAACTTTTAATTATTAGGGTAAGAGTTTAGACAAGGCTTTTGTTATGATAATTAACTTCCTGGTTCTCGGTTAGCCAGTCTATCGACGATCAAAACAACAGCACAATTACAAGCGTCTAAGGCAAAAAGCAGCCGAGCTGCTGCTATTATCAACAGTGCGTGAGGGAAAAGGGAGGGAAAGACAACAAAGTTTAACTCAAGAGAGACAAAGACAGGAAGAGAGGAGAAAAAAGTCAGTTCGAACTTCCACCTCTCGGTGTCTACATTGATTTGTTTCAGTAGTTTCAGCCTTTTCTCCGTTCACCTAATTGCACTGTCTATGACCCTCTAATTACTTCACCGAGTCTCAGAGGGTGTCACTTTAATGCATCGCCTCCCTTTGTGGGCCTGTTTGGATTAGAATGTGAGGAAAAGAGAATGTGAAAGAAAACGAGAGGTAGAGACATGAATTAAGCATAACAGAGCAACGTTGGAGAGACGGGGTTTTCAACGGAATCAGGAGAGAGTGGCTTAGATTGTACATCACCTGTGTGAGGGTATATATATATATATATATGCATATATATATATATATATATATATATATATATGCATATATATGTATAAATATATATATACACATATATACATATATATATACATATATTGTATATACATATGTTGGCATGCAGAGCATGGGTGTCTACACACAAACGGCTAGGCTAAAATTGTTCTACCTACATTTACAATATTAAATATATAATCATTGAAACTGAATGTACTTCCTGTATATACAGTGAATGCATTTTTTAGATGCATGTATCTGTATGACACAATATGATTCAATACCTATATGGTTAATTATTTAGTCCTAAGATTTTTTTTTTTTAATTTAATTTTTTTATTAATTTTTTTCCAATATCTCATGATCTTACAGCTATCCCATTGATGCCATTTACTGGTAGATCGCGATCTTCTTATTGGACACCTCTGCTGTAGCGTAAACAAGAGGCTATGCTCTCATGCTGTTACTATGCTGCGTATCACTATAGCAGCATGATGACATCAATGATGCGAAGAGCTCTCACTGAGCTTCATACATAATTCAATGAACTGTCGCTGATTAAATAATCAGACATAATAATGATAATAATGACCAGAGTCAACTCAATTTGCTGAGACGTCTTACCTCTTGGGAAGAGATCAACTGCCCAGTTGGGTACAAAGATGTCGAATGGGTTGGTGTCCCTGTTGTCTGCCGTCTCCTTCTCTTTGATGTCCTCTGTCTTTTGTCTCATGCCTTTGAAAGGTGTCCACCAGCTCCCCAGCACGAAGGAGTCAGATACTGCCGACCTGGATTCGATTTCTGTGGTGTTGACTTTGGCGTCGGTGGTCGACGGAACAACTCCTGTCGTCGGTGCAGGAGGAGCTTCACCTTCGTCCTGAAAGTCAAGTGAACTCGTAGTTTCCTCCTTCCCCTCCTGAGCCCATGACGTAGACATAAATGGCTTCTCTGTGAAGACACTCTGAGAAGAATGTTCGTCGCCGACTGCCGATGTGGCTGATTTTGCCGTCTTTGTTGCACCGGTCATCAGAAGCCTTGGTGTAGTCACCTGAGAGATTGTCAGGGTCTCCATGGAGGTCTCAGCTGTGGATGCCACAATCTCCTCTGTGCTTGTGCTTGGAGTAGCCCCCCACATGAGCGAAGAGTCAGCGGTGAGATTGTCAGTGTGTAGATGTTTGTAGTAGAGCTCATCCATGGTTTCTCCCGCTGCCTGCTCTGACGTTTTCTGCTCCTGCGGGTTTGGAAACGACCCTGTTGTTTGGTCCACCAGCTGCCAAGTGTGGTCTGCCTCTGTAACAACCTCGCTATGGCGAAGTGAAGGTTCAGTTTCAGGACTGACTCTCGAACCAACGCTCTCCAAGCCGTTGACATCCTGTTCCAAGACACCAGGATATTTGCTCACGTCTCGTGTCTGTTCCAAGACACCAGGATATTTGCTCTCCCCTCCACTGCCCTCCGTCTCCGTCTCCGACTCTTCTACCACTACTGCAGCCGACAGAGTGACAGTATCTTCTTCATCGCGGTTCCTACTCTCGCCTGAGTAATTGTCAGAGTACTCTTTTTCAACTGGCGTAGGAAGGGTCATCAACTCCAGGGGCCCAGCGTTAGCTTCCATGGTTTGACGTTGACCTACAGAGACCATGTTTCCAAGTGATGCCGCTTTGGAGGAATACATTGATTTAATGGCCCACTGGAAGCTGCTGCTGGGGGCAGGATCACTGTGTGGACCTAATCTGGGACTCCAAGGGCTGGATTTGCCAGCGTGATCGCTGGTCTTGGGTTCATCGACACTTGAAGGTGTGAACTCTACAGGGAAAAAAAGATAGAAAAGACAAGTTTAATATTTAATCATAAGAGGGGAAATGGATTTAATTAGTTGGCCCTAAAGAACCTTTTAAATTATTGAAGGTATAATATAAGAAGTGTGCCCTAATCTTAGTCACTAATCCCCTTCAGTATCCAGGTGAAAGTTTTCTTCACATATAGACTTTTTTTTGCATGCTAACCAGTTTCTAGTTTGTATGAAAACAATAATTACATGACTGCAGGTATGGGCTGAAATTTGGACCACGTCCTTTGGGATTTTGTCCCACAGGGGAACAAGCGTGATGTATATATGTATATGTGTGAACACAGTAGTTGTAATGCCCCATAATGCCGAGAGTCGAGTGTGGTGGTACTACATTGTTGTTCAACATAAATCTAATCCTACATCTGAGAATTCTACAGCCTGTAGACCAGTGAAGGCCCAGGGTTTATATTACAGTCTGCCCTTCAGGACAGACATGTCTGAGACTGCAGTGAATCACAAAGTGCTAACTGTAGGGACAGAATAGCTGGAGATAAGGGTAATATTGTTGGAAGAAGTAAAGAAATAAAATATCAATATAGATAATAAGAACAACAATAATAATAATAATAATAAAATTGTTGTTGTTATTACAACATGCACAAAAACATTGTTTTTGATTTGTTTAAAAAAAAAGCTGTCCTTTAGGTCAGGGGTCCCAACCCCTGGTTCGGGGACCAGTGCCAGTCCATAGGTCATTTGATACCGGGACGCAGTGGGAAACAGTAAAAGAATTTACAGTTTTACTAAAAATAATCCAGTCATATCCCTTTACTTTTTTCATTAGAAACTAATGTTTCAAAACAACAGGTCATTCAGACTCTGATACCAACAGAAGAAAGTCTAGAAGATGTTTTATTTTGAAAATTTAATGATCCTTCAACGATGGCACGGTATTACTAATTTGCAGTAACAACTGATACTGGAAGACTGGTAGAAAAAAGGTTGCAGACCACTGGTCCAGGTCACTTTAATAGTCTCTGTTCTGTCTTTTTCTTTGTGGACTTTTCTCAGTTAAAACAAATGCATGATCAAATTAAAAACACTTTTGAAACAATACAAATGTTACGATTTCCCTTGACATGCCAGTAAATATGTTGACAGGTTTGTTTTTTTGTTTTTCTATGATCCAGTACAATAATAATGCCAGGGTTTTTTCCAAAATAAGTTAAATAAAGCCGTGGCCTTGTTCCTCCCATCGCTCAGCTAAATTGCATAACCTTCCATTCCTGTTTACATATATAAATAATACAGCAATAAAACAGAAAGAAAAATCGATTCAACCTGCTCTGTCTCTCCATAACAGATTAGTACAAGGGCTACAACATATACCAATACTGTATGTACATGAATATAGCACTAACATCTGGATAAATTATTCATTAGGCCTGCTGTTGCTCTGTCCAAGCTAGGTACATTAGCCTGGGGTTTATTTCCACCAGAGCTGAGAAGACATAATTAAAGATAGATATAACTAATTACATACATTTACTACACACAGATGAATGTCAGTAATTACACTCATTAATCCGTTTTGATCATCTAAGCAATGACCCGTGTAATAAATAAAATGAGGCAATTAGACGTTCGGCTGATTTCATGGAGCTACCGTGAGCTCGCTTAAAGTGCATGTTTGCTGCTGTGAATGTGTTTGGGTAAAATGCTAATAGAAAAATAAAGAAGCCCCCGAGAAACCAAGTGTGCCTGAATGTCAACTGGGACCTAACGGAATCATTCAATCAAACAGCATGGTGTGTCTGACACAGACGTTATATATGAACTCAAGCTCTGATGAAGGATATGAAAAACATTGGAAGAGATCTGCTGGTGGTTTCCAGAGGGAACTAGAACAGTGATACAGTGGATGGATGGATGGATGGATGGATGGATGGAGAGATGGATGGATAGATAGTTAGATGATCTTGTAAGGCATTTTTTAGATCCTAATGACAGCTTTGACACAGCGAGATCAACGTTAACTCACTGTTGACGATAAAACCATCAACATTATCCGTGCTGCCTCCCTCCAAGACAACGGAACAAAGAGAAACTACATCTCTTTATCGCCATTTCCTCTGACTTCTTTTATGTTCCTATCCCCCAGGTGTCCAGCTCTTCCTCTCTGTAGTGATCAGTGCTGCATGCCTTCAAAGAGCTCAGCCATAATTGGCCCAGACATAGATGGAGGTGAGAGTGAACAGAAAAACAGCCCGAGCTCCGTGTTAATTGGATACAGCTGTGAATAATGTGTATCGACTAAAGCCTGAATTTCCATTAATACCTCCAGGGTGTCATTGAGTTTCAGGTAGCGCAGCAGTGAGTATTTATAATAATAAAGCCTGCAATTGCTGGGTGAGAAGAGCCTAGCTCCCTTATTAAATCATTCCTCTGGCTGTCTGTGGAACACTATCAGCTGTACTTTGATTCTTTCCTTTTTAGCCGATGCCAAGGATGTGTTATGTGCAGCGGCCATTAAAGAGAATTCTCTTTTTTACCTGATGGTGTGATTCTCCTTCCCTTCTTTTTTTTTTTTTTTTTTTGCTCCAGTGTTTTGAAAAAATGAGATGCAACTCGGTTGTGGATGTCTTGCTCGGGGGATTTTATCTTAGGGAAATTAAGCTGTGGCTCTAATTCCAGTCAGTAGAATTTCGTGATAACCTATTAAATCCAGTGATTCACCATCAGCTGCGTTCCCAGCTGCACGGACGCCTTTACTGGTCAACAAAAAGCCTACATTGTGGTTCATTGCATTTCTTAAACATGGACTTCTTTAAGCTTTAAGCTGTGGTTTTTACCCTCCAAGGGTTTACCATTAGTTAGAGGGCTAGAATTACAAACACAAGGGGTAAGAGACATTCATTTAAATGTATGCTTGTTTAGTTTTCAGTCTGAATAAACACGTGGACTAACCTTTGTATTATGTAAGCATGACGGATTAAAGTGTGACTGTGTTAATTATTCATAATTAATTTGAATAATTTAATCATGAGTGAATGTGACATACAGTTATAGTTATTTAGAATTCAATTTAGAATCAAACGTTTGCCCACAGAGGAAAACATCCTCCTATAAAAAGTCAGAGAACTGAAGGAGTGAAACAAATGCTAACATCTCACCGTTGAACTGCGACAGAGACGCTGCAGCAGAGGAGCTGGACGCCTGTTCTTCTGTTTGGCTGCTGGTGGCGCTTTTTCCCGTGTGTTCGACTGCAGGCAACAACGGAATGGGTAAGTTCACCTCCTTCTCCTGCTCGTACAGACCTTCCTCTGGATTTTGTAGTCCAACAGTAGCAGTCCTGAAGGAGAGCCGGTCACTCGTTTGCTCCACGATGGCGTTCTCAACCTTACCCTTGTCTCTGCCGGTCCCGGGCTCGCTCTGGTTTCTGCCGGATGCTTCGTTCCGTGTCTGATTCTCGACCACTTTTTTCTCAGGCACTGAGAGACTGTTGTGCAGCCTCTCCTCCTCCTCCTGCTCCTTACCACCAGTCCAGTGCCTAAAAGGGTTCATTAAAGTGTTCACAAACTTAGCCAACACACTGTTAGTGGATTCAGGTTGAGGCGTTGAAGACTCTCCCGGGAATAAACTGGCGCTGTCAGATCTGAAATAGCCACCGTCTTCTTCCTCCTGAGAAGAACCTCCGTAACTCCCAAAGCTCTTCGTATCGGAGTGACCCAAAATATTACTGCTCTTGAGAACATCAATTTCTGGAACGAGTCGACCGCCCCTCGAGACCTCCCTCTCCTGGTTTCTGCTCTTCTCCGGCCCTTTGGGGNNCCTTAAGTGAATGATGACATGCTCCTCCGAAATCTCTGAGGAGTTTCCAATTCCAGCGATGGAGTTCACTCCTTCTTTGTCCAAGTCGACCAGGCCGGTCCAGGTGGAGGTCTTGGAAAGAGGAGCGCTATTTTCAGATGAGGAAAATAAAGAGACATCCTGTGCTGCAGGATCAGAAGCATGGTTTAAGGCTTGAGCCTCCGCAGCCTGGAACCCAGCTGGTTGATTAGCTGTAAGACACAACATGTTTGTTTCAGGGATTCATGTGAACTGCTTTGTTTACTCCTGCAAATCATACTTGTCCTCCATCATTTTTCTTATCACTGTCACCGAATTTTTTTTTTTTTTTCATCATAGTTTAGGATATGTGTTTTTTTTCTTATGATTTTTCTTATGAAGTTATTTCACAAGATCAACTCTGTTGATCTAAAAATCATCTTCTGTCTTAAACAGTGACCTAATTGTGCTGACAACAGTCCCGGTACGATGAGGAGACCCATCTATCAGCTGCTTGTTTTGACAGCTACACTGATACACAGCTTGTAAAATTCTCTCTCTCTCTCTCTCTCTCTCTCTCTCATTATCTTTGTCTCTCTGCCTCTCTGGATTCACAACAAACAACATCCACTCCTCCAAATTCACAAAGGTCGACGCAAACATCACGCAGTCTCTCCACAGCTACATCATCTGTGACACAAACATCTTTTGATCATTCCAATCAGAACAGAAAGCAACTTTCCAAATGTTCCTATTGCTGGTGTATTATTATAGCGATGGCCAAATAATGGCACACGGCCGTATCACCGCACAGTGTGCGCTACCTCGGTAGCAGTAGGCATCAAACAGGGCCGTGGTGTTAGGGAAGCCGGTGCGGTTCCGGTTGTTGTAGACTGTTCTCACTCCCGTCTCGTCACCGCCGCAGTTCTTTCTGGGGACGTTGATGGGGTAGCGGACACTGCCGTCTGCCAGCCAGCCAGGATCACACTGGTCTAGTCCAGCCTGCCAAGCAAGGTAGAGCTGCCCAACAGTAGCCAGCTGGGCACCCAGGGAGTGACAGTGGGTGGATGCTGTGGCAAGACTGAGCTTCTCTGGTACTGTGGAGTGGAAAACCTCACCTGGCAGAAGCGAAAGGAAAGGAAATTAATCGAGGTTGGTTAAGGTGTTTAGGAAAAAAAAAACAGAAAAGGATTTGAGTCGTCGTCCTAGAATCGTTTGTTGTTTTGTTCAGGAAAGCACCTGGTTCATATCGCAGTTCTTTTTTGTGATATTTCTTTGTTTGCTGTGTTATGCACAGATAATCGGTTGTGTGCACTAACGGACTTATTTTCTTTTACTTTCAAAGTAGCAGGCTCTGAATCATTAAGAGGGGTATAAACAGTCGACTCTGCTCTTTGACATACCTGTAATGATAGAAGACATTATCAGTTATTCAAAGCTGATGCTATAAAATATTTAAGAGGAAATGACTGACTTCAAAACCCTTTAAAACAGAGAACGAAAAAAGAAATATATATATTTTTTCTCTTTCTTTTGAAAAAAGGAAGTGAACTCTGAGTGAACCCCAGCCTGGGTTAAATGTGTTTTGCGTACAGAATTACCTCGGCAACACACAGGAAGTGGAACATTTAAACCTGAACATCTCTCCTGTGGTGGAAGCTAACAGTGAAGGCCTCTGCTGCTATATTCTAATGTTGGTCATCATGGTGGTACTCAGAGAGATCAATGTTTTCTCAGGTGCTACAGAGTAGAAAAAGTTGGAGAACCACTGGTGTAGGGCCATATATAGCATCTAAACCCAAAGAACTCCTTCTTCCCCTGCCCTTCCTTTCACAGCACCCCCCACTTCCCTGATAAAGTCCACGCTCCACTAACCCCCAATCTGTGTCGACAACTCTGGAGTCCTACCTCCAAGCTCCTTAGTGAAGCAGTACACATCAAACAGCTCATCAGGAGACCTATTGCCATAGTTACGAACTCCAGGTGAGTCCTCACGATCACCATAGCAACCAGACCGAGGCACCTGGATGGGATACCTGCAGAGAAAGCCCAAAAGACAGAGTAAGTGAAAAAATCATTAGAGCCGGGTTTTTTCGATGATTACAGGCTGGCTTGATAAAAGCTTCCACAGAGCAACTCTCCCCCCTGAGGAGAAGTCTGTGTTTGGACATAGCTCTGTTCCCTCACTGCGTTTATGAATTTGTTCAAAACCTCAGTTAAATAAAGTAAGATCGTCATCTTGTCTTTGTTCTATAGATTCATAAAGTGTTGAAGTTTGGTCAAGATTTAGACAGAACGGTGAAAGTAAAGAGGTTTTTTAAACGTCTTCAGTGGCTCCACCGGCAGCATGAGGTTGATAAAGCACCAATTTAACATATTCAGGCTCCAGCTGTGCAAAGATTCCAGAGGAACAGCACTTCCAGCTGCACCTGGGAACAGGCAGAGAGCACGGTGACCTATGGAGTCGGAGAAAAACACAGTAATAAACACCAACAAAGGTTAAACTGGATCTTTGTCGCGTCTCTGGGCTGTGTTTGCTCAGTGACGGGCGGAGGACGTCTGTGTCTGTGTTGTTCTGCTGGATTCATTAGTCGTTTTCCTTGTGGTGCTGCTAGACCAGTTTTTAAACCAATTAGATTGCTCCGAAGCACAAACAACAACGAGGAGAGGACAGACAAAGACACGGAAAAGAGGAGAGAAGTTTAGCTGCAGCAAACTTGTCGTGAACTCCTGCCAGTCTCCGAGGATACTGCGGTGATTTGTAATTAAACTGCGGGTGGAGAACGCTGGGTGTTGGACGATGAGAGGTGTAGAGAGGGAGGCACAACAGTCGGACAGACTAGGAACCAAGACAGGACTGATGTTGAACACTGTGTTTCAACAACTTTGTTTAATTATCTTTTTGTACCCTTTAAATGATTTATTAGGATCAGGTAACAGTACTAGTTTATTGTAGCAGTGTATTAAAAAACCCTTAAATGATTCCAGCCACAGGAAAATAAGGGTTTAACTTAAATAGTATTTTATCAGCATTCACTGATAGTCTAGATCAGTGATCCTCAACCTTTTTTGTACCAAGGACAGGTCGGCCATTAGGGGGCGTTACTGCGGACCAGTAGCACCACGCTTTCTTTGCTTTATTATCATCTGAGGTAAAGCATCACCACGCTTTCCTTGCTTTATTATCATCTGAGGTAAAGCATTTTGATGCACCTGAACTTTAACCTTTTAATATATTAAATCAGTCAGGCTGTTTGCCTTAAAACATTCGAAAGACGCTTAGGTGTTTTCTTCTATATGGAATGGAAAGTGAAGGACAACTGTACTGTATTAGAAGCAGGAATTACTGTAAGATTATTCTCTTATTTGTGTTCTGGGCATGATTAAACGTGCCGCTGTTTTTTAAGGGTGTGGGGCAACTGCATCAAACTCCAGGCCCTGGACCTCCCTGCCAGCCTGGTACTCACCGGACGGTCTGGTCGGACAACCATCCAGCATCGCAGTTGTCAAAGCCATCAGCGAAGGCAGCCTGCAGCTGGCTGGGCGTTGCGATGACCGCCGAGTTCTCCACGCACACTCTTTTAGCATCCACAAAAGACAACGCGTAGCGGTCGTGAGGGGCCCTGTAGTGAAATACCACACCTGGAGGAGACACACAGAGGTTTGTCAAAATACAGAAGTATTCATGGATATCAACCTGGAAACATCTACATGTCCTTACATGGGTAAACCCAAGCCCTCCACAGAAATGCAAGAAAATGGAAAAAAGAAAGGAAAACCTTTTTTTAGTCCTAAAAGGAGTGGAAATTGTTACCTAAATGGCATTGTAATTGTAAAGCTTTTGAAGTGTCCGTCTGATGATCCCTGGCCTCAACCTACAGCTCTGGTGACATCACAGCCAGTGGGCATTTGGCTTTAAACACCACCCCTTAATCCTCACTGCACGGCTGGGAGAGTGACAGTGGCTTTTGTGAATTGTAGAGCTCGGTGTGAAATTCAGCTTTGGCCTTGAGGTTGTGGTATACACACACACACACACACACACACACTATGGGTGGCAAAACCTTAGAATTTTTAAAGTCCAGTGTAATGAATATAATGAAGGTCCATTAGGTGTCAAGTAGTCGCTGATCATTGACTTTTTTTTGAGTCCTTGTCCGGTCGATGCATTGCAATAGTCTCACACACACACCTGACTTATATTTGGTGATATCTCACATGCAGAAATGTTGAAGAAAATATAAAAATGCTTCAAAAACAATGGGGAATCCTGATTTGCGTGTAAGAACTCAAGCACATTGACGTAGCAAATAGCAAAACCTGTCTTCGTTTGGGGGAATTTGCAGTGTTTCAAATGCTCACAGACCTCTTCATCTGCGGTGGATTCACCTGCTTCCCTTTTTACTTTGATATTTTGGGCCAAAAAGTTGTTGAAAATCCCAGCTCAACGCTGGCTTTTTTTTTTCTTTTACTGGTTCTCCCTCGCCATCATCACCTTTAAAGACACTCACCTACAATAAGTTGAATGTCTAAGTCTACCAAAGCAGCACATCCATCAACAGCTGACAGTTTGAATAATTTAGAGCAACAGGCTAGTTCCATCCACTGCACTGACCAGTTGTGGCTCCGCCTCCTTTGTTTTTTCTCCGAGACGTTCATGTTCTTCGTGGAAATTCAGTCAGTTGTTAGTTTACCTTAAGCAACAAATGTCATGATGTTTGTATGTAAGTTATATCATGCATTCCGCTAACAATGCTTAAAAATAAATGCTTAATCCTAATTCATATCTGAACTCTTGTTTAACCTAGATTTGAATTTAAACTAAATCTCAGACTTGTCTTCAAAATCATAGTTTTGGCAACATCACAACGTTTTGTCCTTACAAGATTAATCTTTTTTTAATTTCTAATTGTAGGGTCTTTTCCAAACACAGATGGAATATCCTGCTGCCTACCCAGTACCCAGAAGACTAAAATGTTAGTCTGTACATATAGACATTTCACAATGGAGTCTAAGGGCCTGTGTGTCATTCTTCTATTTTTACCCACTGTGTTTTAAAACATTCTCACACCGTCTCCATGGTGAGAAGGAAGAAGGCAATTTTGGTTATTCCATCAAGGACGTATTTTTGTACTGCAGAACAGTCTGTGTCACAACACACAGTATTTGAACAAACACAGGATCACGCAGGGGAAAATTGGCCAGAGAAACAGAGACATTTTAACCACAAAATGAATATTTAAATAAAATGTAAATCTTCACAAAGATGATTTGATTTACACTTTTGGACTGACATGTCATCTATTTGCTGGTAAAGCTGCTGGATTTTTGCCCCTTTTCTTTGGCCACACATGTACGGACTTAGCTGAAAACCAGTGGTGGTGTGAGCACGGGTGTCACATTCAGTTTATAACTGTGGTGTATGAGAGGACGCAGCTCAGTGGTAGAGTGCAGGCTTTGCATGTAAGTGTTTTGCAGCAGCCCATACTCAGCCCATAGTGGAGAGGGGATTGAACTTCCCACAAAAAGGTTTTGAAAACGCCGAGCGTGTTCGTCCGTAAACCGGAGCCCAACCAGGGACGACATTCAGGCTGCTGCAGTGCCTCAAATCTCCCTATAGTGGCTCCATAGAGTAGCGCCTGCTTACGCATCTGCCTCACATGCAGAAGGTCCTGGGTTCAAGTCCAGGACTTTCAAGGGAGCAGCCTGTTGAAGCAGAGGGGCAGGGGGGTATTCCAGAAAGAGGGTTATGTGAAAACCCAGAGTAAGTCACAGAGTCAGTCACCATGGTAACAGACTCTGTTAACATGGCAGGTTAACTTGAAGAAACCCTGAGTTTTCTACCTGTCGCCTTCCCTCATGAAGAGCGCCGTCGGACATGGATCGTCCCTTCATTCCCAATCCAATTAATATTATTGGAAATGCTTTATGTCGCGATGGAATCTTCTGTCTGTCCGCTGGGGTTATAATGACAGCTTTGTGTGACGGTGTCTTCACAGCTGATTAAGAAGTGTTATGTTATATACATAACAATATATTTTTCAGAGCTTAAAACTGATCTGTTTTTCTGTCTAATACTGCAGCAGTGGTGGACTGAGTACCAAGCTAATACTGCAGCAGTGGTGGGTGTACTGAGTACCACAACTGCTGCCACACTATCTAAAATAGGTGAGGCGGTGCAGATTAGAAACGTGTAGTCACGGCTGAACCAAAATGCAGAAGACATCTCTGTACGTTTTAATAATACAATCATTTTCCATTTTATACTTTTAAAGTGCCTTTTTAGCAAAAGCTAAGGTGAGACGTGAGCATGTGGGAGGAAACCAGAGCAGAGTTCTGCTCTGGTCATTATGGAGTTCTGACTCCATAATGACGCAGCATTTACACCAACACCCGAGCACCTTTACACACTGTATGGAAATACTATAACTGCTGTGGATTACAGTACTACTGACATAGAGTACTTTGTATGGATAGGGGTAAACTGAGGTTTTTGGAGCTGACACGAGCAGCATTGGCATTAATATTTATCTGGGAGTAACATTCTGCACAACAGCTTATGCATTATGCAATTTCCCTGTGGTCATTATGATAATTGCTTATTATTAAGAAGTGAGCGACCTGGAACGATTCAGATAATGGCGCTGCGGCTGGAACACCCACCTTGTATTAATGGTCCCGTGAAAGTGAAGTAGCTCAAGTTTAACTGGCAAAATACAGGTGTCCTACATGCAGTCGATCCAGTGAATCTGTTGGTTATTTAGTCAAGCCACTGAGAGCAGTTTAGAGCCGGCACTGTGAGACAATAACAGTTTCAGTGCAGCTCCTAGGAGGCTTCAGGTCAATGATGCTCATTGTGTTCTTGTTCCCTCATCTTTTCCTCATCACTGCACATTCTGCATGGGCACTGAAGTGGGCAAACAGCAGTGGCTGTATTAGCCTGATGTAGACGGGGGTAAGAGGGGATTGTTGTTTTTGGTTGTTGTTATTGACACAGCATGAGTGCATTTTAGACAGCTCAGAATATGAGTATTTTACAGCAGTTGTCCCCAACCGGACAGTTGGGGACAACAGTACTGGCTGTTACTGCGGACCAGCTTCTGTACCAACGACCGGTCGGACAGTACTGGCTGTTACTGCGGACCAGCAGCACCATGCTGATTGTTGGAGGATTGTTAAAATTTTCAAAATAAAACATCTTTTAGACTTTGTTCTGCATAATCGGAAACATCGCCAGATTATCTTTGAATGAGAAATGGAATTGGATATGACTGGAAAATTCAGCTCATTTTCATTGTGTTCCACTGCAGTCCAGTAACAAATGATCTACGGACCAGTACCGGTCCACGGACCTGGAGTTGGGGACCCCTGCAGTACAGTACAGTAAGATCACGCAGCATTGAAAATGTTCTCTTTATGCGGATCGACTACTCAGAATTACAGTGGGATTCAAAGCACGTCTTCTCTCAAACTGTTCCACCTGTCCACATGACTCTGTACCAGTTTGTCACTGTGGAAATCAACCAACTAGTCAACCAGTTTATTTAGGAATGACTCGATACAACTTTTTGTATCCCTATGACCAATACCAGTACTGACACTGCAATTCAGAGTATCTGCCTATACTGATATCAATCCGATGACTTTTCTCCTCCAGTGGCTGCCGTTGCTGAGGTGGTAGTGTTCCTGTTTACTGCATGTCATGCAAAGTTAACTTGAGCATCTGGGCTTAGGTATTAGGTATAGGGATCAGATGGGTTTTCTTGATGTTTGTACGGTGATTAATTTGAATGTTTTCCTGAGAGCATAGAGATGAAGTCAGGTCAGGTCAGCCAGTGAACTGGTTTTTATGTTGACTTATCATGACGTGACCAGGTTAATACATACAACTGATTGACTTCTAGAATAAGGTCAGCACAGTGCAGCACTGTGGTTTAACCTTTAATTAATTCTTTTGCCTAACGACTGTTTTGATTTTTAAAATTCTTTAAATGAAAGTGACAGGACTTTATGGATTTTCCATTTAACAATATTTCAGTTGCCTCTTTGATTTACTGAGAACAATATAATCTGTGGCTGCTGCTTTGTTGGTTTGTTTACTTCTTCTTCTTCTTCTGTGTGCCTGTAGATTTACCAGTCGTTCTTAATCATTTAGAACGATAATCACTTCATGTGAACTTTAACACCAAAGAAGATCTTTAATTAGCTCTCCATAGGACTAATTGTACTTTGTTATCGCAATCACTTAATTACATCCCAGATTTATAGCCAATTAAATGACTCAGTTTAACAACAACTGCCAGGGCAATTACCATTGGTCGACTGCCATCACTATATATCTGAACCTGTTGTTTTACAGTCTGAGGAATGGGACGTTTTCCTCTTTATTCTCCCAGTCACTGAGCTCCTTCAGAATGATTAGTTGGTATTTACCTGTGACCACCAGGGGAACTGTGTCCTGCTCGTCGTTGATGCCCACCACAACTTCACAACGGTACAAACCAGAGTCACTGGTGCGCAGCCCGGTTACAGCCAGACTGGCGTTGTAGCGGTTCATGGTGTAACCAGGCAGTGACACCCGGCCTTGGTAGGCTTTTTTTACCTAAGGGAGAAAAGGATCAATAAAACACGTATCGCATAGAAAACTAATATATGGATACAAGGTACTGCAGTTACCTTGACCACATTGTCCTTGGCCACTAGGACCGACTGTTCCTTCTGCAGGCCGTCAGAGCCTCTTTGACCCCAGACCTTTGTCCACTTAATCCTGGGGGGTTCATGAGTTGAACCAGCGCTGGGGCGAAGTGTAAAGACACAGGGGAGCAGGACTGTTTTGGAGAGCTCCTCGCTTATGGTCTGATGGGTTACTTTACGCATATTCACCACAGTTTCACCTCCTAAGAAGAGGAGGAAGAGAAAAACTATTGATTCTGGGAGAGATTTCTTTTTTTTTTTTCAGGTTAACGTTTAATTAGATTTTCCCAGTTGAGAAGTGAAAAGGAAAAAGAAAAGTCATCTTCCCTCTCTGATTATTGCTCATTGATCCAGTTAACAATTGTTCTATTGAGGCACTCTGAGGCACAGAGTGGACGGACGATGTCACTGGTCTTTTTTAAAGCTATACATCAAAACTAGATATGCCTCGCCCGATCAATACCAACCACCTCTTCGCAGCATAAACCACAGCCAGCAGAAAAAGGAAAGCGTATTTTAGTCACTAATATCATCTGATTCGAGCCGTGGTCTGAGGGTTTTCTCCTCCTTGTTGTAGTATATTTGAATTCACATCCTCAGATCACACTCCCCTAGAGTGAAGAAGTGTGAATTTCAAAGGGGTAAAAGTCCTTTTTTTTATTATTAATCTTGGAGCAGTGAGTAAATTAGGTTAAAGCAACCATGCGTTCTCCCACCTTCCTACACGAGCCATTATTTTCATTTTCCTCCTGACAACAAAGGGGACCTAATCTGATTTGACTGGTAGCCTTGGGCTGGCATTGGCACTTGGCATTATCACTGAAGCATGTATTCACTGACACTTTTTTAATCATCTGTCATGGGAAACTGGGAGTTTGGCCTCAGATGTAGCCTACCGCGAGAAGACAGAAAACTGAGGTTGAAACCTTCAGTCACAAACTGAAGGTTTCTCCTCCGGCGGGATGAGGGTCATAGTTGGAGGTAAACAAAATACAATCTGCGGGAAGCAGGTGGAGAATTTGGAGCGTCCCCACAAGACAATTAGTCACAAGCAAATAAGATTAGCATCGCAAAGCAGAAGTCAATACGAGGACAAAGAAAAGTCAAATGTGTTAATGGGAGGAAGGAGCAGCAGGGAACGCTCGCTCCGACCAGTAATCCACATGAGGGAGCAGAAGGTTGATCCTGTCAGAGGACTTAACACTGAATCAGAGCAGGACTACAGAGGGAGCATGACACTTCTGAGGGCGATTAACACGCCTGAAAGTCCAGACAGATGACGAGGATCAGACGGAGAGTGTCGGTAAAGTTCAGCTCCACGGCGTTAGCTGAGCCGACCAGGACATTTGCTACGTATTCACACGCTCGCCTTTGAGACGGTGTTATGAGAGGATGAGAGAGATTTTCATCACCAATACATCACACTCGTCAACTGCAGACGCTCCCTAGCTCAATCTCACCCAAACAAATGTCTCCCCACAAAAAAAATATCACTCTCTGGCTTTCCTTCGGGTCAGTCATGTAGATAAACCACCCAGTGATAATGGTGGAGTACTTTCACTGAGACAAAATCATCTGAACACTGTGAAGAAAAATAAAGAAAAGAGAACAGCCGTATTGTTTCCAGGGTCTCGACCTTAAGAAGCTTCCATTTTCTCAGGACATTCAGAGGTCGCTAATGTCAGTTTCGTTTGTGCTGATAAGACGCCTAAAACGAACGTTCAAAAAAATACTGCAGTGTACTTTTAAAGTTTGAGAAATCAACTGACACAGCGTGCTGTCAAGGGAATTACTGAACAGTAAAGAGAGACTGGCCACTCTGTGATTAAATGTCAAACGGGTGGAAGAAAACTTTTAAAACTTAAAGTTGCGTGTCACTAAACCTCTTCCTCACCTCTTATAGAATCACAAACTTACAGGGATTTGAATCAGGTATTGCTGCCTGAACGTTAAAATACTACAGTACCTGTTGTGTTGCGTAGACTGAAAAAGTACCAACATGGGTACACACATATCAAAACTGATTTTTTTTTTCATTCCTAAAAGTAAACTGTGCCTCATTGTGCCATATCAGTCATATTCATGTCACTCACTCTGACAGTCAAAGACATCAACCATCACACCTCCCTCTGCCCTCTGACGTATGCAGATGCAGACAAATCCTCACTCCTGCTAACAACTTCTAAGAAAGGGTCTCTAATCTACTGATCTACAGGGTTACATCCAGAAGATTTGGGCTCTAAAATCCCTCTGCGTGTCTTTATTTATTTCTTTAACTTGAGAGAGCTTGAGCATGCTGATCGAGGTGACCTGGTGAAAACAGACACTTAAAATTCTACAAGGCAAAGTGACAAGGGGGAAAAAGAAAAGAAAATTGGAGAATGAATGAATAAAGTGCTGTGGGTTGCAAACATCCAGGTCTGAGACAGATTCTCTTAGCGATTTAAGGAGGAATAAAATGTACCTACTACTGATCAGCTGGAGAGTAAGGTGACGTTCTTGGTTGTTTTTAATAATGCTTGTTTAGAAGTTTATGGATCATTTCTAAATAAGATAGATATTTAAATAGATGGATGGATGGATGGATGGATGGATAGACAAATTTATCAAATAATAAACAGCAGGAACATGTAGCGCTTAGCACAAAAGTTAATAGTGAAGGTCACAGAAACCAGTTATTTTAAATCTGCGTTTTAATAGAAATGTAATGACAAACAAACAGACTACTGTGTGTCCACGTACTGTATGTTACCTGAACCAGACTGAATTGGATTCTGGGTAAAAAGAAAGAAGAGAGATGGAGTGGAATGAAAATGCCGAAAAACTGAAGATATGGAATATGGATCGTCTAAGTGAGTAGGGTTAGGTTTGGTCAAAGGTCAAAAGGTCAGTCTTGTTTTGACCTTGTGTCTTTCCCTGTTAGTGTGAAGAACAGTCTCAGATTTAGATCCCAGCTTCTGCTGGAGCCTTTGTTTCAGAGAGTACTTAGATTTTCCCCTTTTCATTTCTGCCGGTTTCCATGACATCTATGCCTTCGTCACCGTGGGTCCATCTGTCTTCACTTTAGAAGTGCACTCATATTATTAAACACAGTCGGAGAGCCTTTATGTGCCTGGCACAGAGCTGCAGACAGACAGAGGGTGAGCAGCAATGGCACCTTCACTGAAGTATGAACACAACTGACAACATCAGTCCTCCATCTCCCTGTACCGCCTGACGTTCTTTCACCATTTCAACAGAAGTTGTCTGAGGGGTAGAAAGTGAATTTCCTAATTTTGGGACGAATAAGAGACTTCAATAATTAATTAATTAATATAATATTAATAATTAATTACCTATAAGTAAGTAATTAATCATTTTTGGTTGCAATTAAAAAAATTTCATTTTGTCACAATTTATGTGTAAAACATCATAAACTACTAATTTAAATAAATAGGTTGTACTTATATAGATCCTTTTTTCAGTTATGTTTCACTCTTGTCTCTCTGTGTTTTTCAGCAGTGCAGATTAACACACACACACACACACATGCTAAAGATGAAAAGTGAAGGCATTCCTCACTGATCTTTCACATCCATTTGTGAATCAGCGGAGGTGTTAGACACCGACGCATCAGTAAAGGAGGTTTTAGGTAAAAAGGCAGGTGGAAAACAGAGTGTTATAGAAGAAGCTGTGTGAACACAACAAAAGAAGGATTCAAATTTGATTACGAGGTGGTCTTAGATACAAATGTTGAATGTTGAAATTTAACTTTTTTTTTGTTGGGATCTGCAGTTTGTGTATTGGTTAGTATTGAAGGCATCGGTGACACATTTTAAAACAGGCTTTGAAAACCAACTGGAATGAATATTAAAATCTCAGAACGCGCAATTTTGCCAAACGAGCAGATAAAGACAAAAGGTCAAACTTTTACTCAGACAAAATTGCCTAAAAATCCGAAGCCATTTAGCAGGGTGTGTTAATTATGGAAAAACGCTAGGTGCTTAAAACACAGAGATAAGACAAGCACAGTGGTTAAAGCCAGGTGTGCAGAGTGAGGATGCTACTGACATTATTCATGCCAGGTTTTACAGAGAGAGTGGCTCCAGGGATGAAAATCCATTAACCAGAAAACATAATAAAAATTCAACATCGTAAAATTTGAGGATCTTAAATCTATTCTATTGCTTCATTTTCAGGTTCAAGCTAACTGTAAGGAGCGCTAATGAGACTTTTCCTTTGACCTCACTGGTACGAGGGGACAGTGTTGGGTGGATCCTTGTGATTTTAAAAGGGCGCTCTACCCTGAGCTACAAGAGGAACTGAAGTACCAGCTCCAAAACAACACCATGATCACCAGGGAGGACGCTGAGGACAACCAGTGGTCTGTCTGTCGATGCAAAACAACAAGCACGGGCCACAAAAGAAGCACAATGAGATTTTACGAGACTGATGACAGACTGAAGAGCGAAAGCTCTTGGGTTCTGCGTTGAAGCCTGACTCTAGGATCATTTATTTCACCCTGGCTCCTCC